GTTCGTCTGTGCTTGCGTGCGATGGCGGTACCAGAGAAAAAGAGAGAAAGAAAAAGGAGCACGACGAGAGAGGAGGGCAGAAGGGAAAAGAGAGGGTGTAGCAGCATGCAGCAACCTCACGTGCGCGTTGATACGCACGTAGCACAACAAAAAAATCGTTCGGGCAGTGCCCGAAAGCTTGGTTGGGGGCTGGCGGTGGTGGCAGCGTTGTTATGGCTGTGTGCTGTGTCTTTGCTGTTGTGACGGCGGTGATGTTTGCTGCAAAAGCGAGGAGAGCGAGGGGAGAGGAGAGGGAGAGAGGGAGATGGAGAGAGCAGTCTGTTCGTCTCGGAATACAAATATATACTTGGAGCTCTGGAGCCCCAAGCATATTTTTTCCCACGATTCATGCATTTTTGCCCAAAAGTCCACTCTGGTATAAAACTCGATTCATCCACTTTTCGGGCTCTTCCACTGGTTTCATGCATTTTTTTTAGTTTTAAATAACTCTATGAAGAGAAAGTGATCAAACGCAGCGGATTACAGCTATAATAGCCAACACCACTCACTCGCGCACAAGGGGAAGTCATGGCGGGAGAAAAAAATACCCCGCAAATATGATGCGAATTCCAAGCGATTTATTTGTATGCAGGTTGCACGCAAGCCGGCATACCAAACGTTATGACGACCAACCATGCGACCGCGATGGCACTGATTGGCCATGTCCTCTTGCGTCGCCCCCGTGAGTTATAATCACCTATCTATGATTTAGAATGGTGCTAGATAGGGCGGGGTAATGAGCCGCAGGGTTGCCGACTCCATACCTTTCAGTTATGTACTGCGATGTTTCTCTGTGGTGGCAGTGGACCGTTTTACGAAAAATATACGAACACAGAAATACTACAATATCCGTTCGAGATATACCCACATTTCCACAGCAGTCGAACGGGATGTGTTGGAGTCTTTCAGTGAACGGAGGAAAACCGACTGGGTACTGGACATAGTTCGAGTCTGTTTTAAGCCTATTCACTGATGATTTATATCGCCGACAAAATATCGGGGAGAATGGCCCCGGTATGTCGTCATTTTGAATTTTGAACCCGAGTCTTGAACCAAAAAACATGGTCCTGGAACGGCCGTTGGGATTGGTGATTGGTGTACCGCAGTACCGCGTGACACAAGACCCCACATCCCGTGGACCAATTTCAGAGCTCGGTTTCTCCACACCACAAAGAGTGGCGGTCCCGATCACGTGGTGTGGGAACGGTGTCGTCGAGAGCTTTCCGACAACGTCTCACTGGGTTTACGATCGTCTTGGACGTGGAGTAGCCGAGCTGTAAAAATCAGTACAGGGGGTGTGGACCTACGGTAGATGACGTCATTCCCCGCCGATTTGGGTTCTTCGGTGGTTTCTCTGCACAGAGTGACGCAGCAGCAATTGTAAAGCTATCCCCCTCGAGCTGTGAGTATGGAACGTCTGGTGTGGCGGCTGATAGAGGACACGGGGCCAACGGACCAACTGAAGCTGATGTGGCGAGAGTCGGCGAATATATGCATGCATGCGAGTAAAAATACCCGCCGTTAGAAAAATAGGCCATTTTCCCCGTAGAAAGCACCTTTGTTTCGGCAGGTGACCTTTCCCCGCAGACCAAAGCAACAGGAGTCACAAAGGTATCCGCCACGAGCTGCGGCCATGATCCGTCTTGTGACATGATTGATACAGACCAGTAGGCTGTAGGACGCTCAAGAAATAGAGAGCGCGAGAGTCTGGGACAGCCTCAAAGAAAACCCGCCGCGTCTGCTCGGTTAAGTCTGTAGCTTTTCTTCCCCAGGCGCTGGTTTACCGATGATCCCTCCCCACACTCAGAATTAACAGCAATGATATTGGCATCCGCCACGAGCTGTGTGTATGGCTCTCTTCCCCCGCCGTACTGTCTTGCCCCTCCCAGCGGTGATGCGTGTTTGGCTGAGTGCTTCCTCTGTTCCTCCTGGTTCCAACCAAGCAACTTGCGTGACTGCGTGTGTGTGTAGGAGGACTCCGATTTCTTGTTCCCCCATTACCTATACAACTCCGCGGGGATGGGGGTGAGTATCTCGTTTGGTTTTTGGGTACAAGGCCAGTGAAGCATGGCCATCTGCGGTCGGAGCACGACCAAACTGGCATGGTGGAGAGTGCCGTATTTTTCTTCGTCCTCACAAGCCAGCATCGCCAATCAGTGCTCTGTAGACCTCGTGCTGGTCGAAGAGGAGGGCATTTTCAAGCGCTCGTTTTGGAACGTGGGCTCTATTTTTTCGTTGTTTGCTTCCTGGGACGGAGGGAAAACTAGAGGTCTCGCAGACAGGACGGTATCACCTGCCCCGCGGAGGCTGCTTTTTCCGCCCCGTTTCGGCAATTACATTTATTTATTTGTTCTTGTTTTTACGCGCGCACATACCGGGATTGGCATCTCGTGCCGCATTTTGACCACTCTCTCACGAGACCACGCGGGCGAGACTTGAGCTCACCGAATCTTCCTTCATCTCCAATAATGTTACCGACTCGTACGAGTTCCGCACATGGGGCAGATTCTTGTTGAAACGCGGGGGACGAGGGTATCTCAATACTCCAGCGGCTCCATGGCTCTGCCCACGAACGCGAGAGCTCACTACTAACTAGTTTTTGGAGCGAAAGAAGGGAGCGACCTCTTTCACCGCATTTCGCACGCACAACAACAACTTGACAACTTGATGATTGATGACTCTCTCTTCCTCGCCGGAACACATGCATGCATCCATTGTACAATTTAGTCCGATCTCGACCAATCTGCGCATGCGTACAATATAGTGGCCTCCCTGTCCTGGATTATTCCGCGTTTGCAACGCCTGGTGGAAACGAGATACCACCTCAAATATAAAAAGAAAAACTCGTAGAGAACCAGCACGGTTGCCCGAGGCAAGCTGCGATACCAAGATAGGATAGCATGTAGCTTGATCTGGGAGCACTAAAATACTGTTCGAACCCGGGGTCCGTTCATACGGTCCGGTGCCAGGCCTTCCGGGGATGCGGTATCCTCTGTGGGTGTGGCACAACACAACAGCAGTGTCAACACCCAGACCAGTCCACGGCAGTCAAATGATGTTGTGGTATGGCTGTTGCGTCACAGTGCCCTCCTTCAACCATTTGCGTCCTGAGGCTGGGCGCGAGTATGCACGTTTTGATACTGAGTCGTACATTCACATTCCCTCTGAAATGTGGAGTATAGGGTTGGACCGAACATCCTTGAACTATTACACTTTTCAACACACACACGAAGTTCTTGCCACACCAGCACTACACAACAACGAACGGTCACGCCGCATAACCCCGTACAATTTTAATACAAAAGTCTGCGGCGGCGATTTTCATGTATCCTGGTCTTATGCTGAGCGCTCAGACTTACCAACGACGGAGTGATTACAGTAGCGGCTACGGTTTAAGAGAACTTATTTAAGAGAAAGGAATTGGCGTGTACCAATAACAATCGATTTAAGAGAAATTTCCTTTTGCAGCTGGGATTTTTCTCTTAAATCGAACAATGTGGAAACCACGTGGACACACACACCCACACAGCTGCAGACACCATGCCCTGCGTGGCGGGCAGTCGCTGCACGGCTGTCCCCGATCACACGCCAGGCCCGCCGGCGTTCACAAACCACCAATGTAGAGGAGTCTGCAGGCAGTACCTCCATGGCACCTGTGGTGTGGTGGACCCTCAGGGCACCTCCGAGATGCATCGCATCTGCCACAACTGCCTTTCCTCCCGTGAGCGCATGACTTCAGGCGTGGGGAGTGCTGGTGGGACTGCTGGCGCGCCGTCAGAGAAGCGCAACTCCTCGGGGAGCAAAGGCAAGGGCTCCCCGGGTGCAAGTGGTAGCTTGAGACTTGGCCAGCATGGCGCGAAAAAAAAAGGCGGCGCAGCCAAGCGCAAGCGGGTGTCGGTCGAGGTGAAGGTGAACGCCATCGAGCTTCTGAAGACGATGTCTGTCGCCGCAGTCGCGGCGAAGCTGGGGATAGGCGAGAGCACCGTCTACAGCTGGAAGAGTGGCGAGAAGAAGCTTAAGGACGCAGCAGCGGTCGGCAAGGCTGGCGCGAAGTCTACGAAGGGAGGAGAGTTTCCAAAGGTGCGTTCAGGACAGTTTTTTTTTCTTTTGTGTCACGGGCGGTGTGTTTTCTTTTTTTGTTCAAAAGTCAAGTGAAAGAAGACATGTGTATCTGCTGCTGTTCCGTGTTCAACAATCAAGTTAGAAACGTGTGTACTCGTAACTATGTATGTAGTAATATACAATATGTTTCTGCTGCTGCGCCACGATCATGTATGGTTTACAGCATGTGAGTTTTTGGTACGCTCACACATGTGCACTATGTATTACAAGGTAGTAGTAGTAGTACTGCTGTGAAAAAGACATGCTTGTGTGTTATGTACTGCTGTGAAAAGACACGCTTGTGTGCCATGTATGTACACATGCATGATGCCCGCGGACTTATTGGTGATCTTTTCACGTGCTACTACTGCTGTTGTGTTTTTTTTTGGCAATGGCAAAAAGCCAAAAGGTCTAGTCTGAAGTCCATCGCATGTTCAAAACTTAAACTTTGCGGGGAATACTTGATGTCCAGCAGGGTGTGCTCGGCTCTACCTCTTGGTACTTGGGGTCCTGTGCGCTTGTCATCTATGATCAGAAACGTTGTCGCTGCCACACCCTGCATGTACGAATTGAACCTGCTGTTTTCCAACTTGTTGCTCTCCTTCGCATCGATTGGCAGGTGGAAAAGGCTGTGATGGAGCTCCTCACACACGCGCGGGCGCATGGTCTGCCTGTGGATCGGTTGGCCATCCAGGCCTTTGGGCGCAAAGCGAAAGCAACTGTCGCAGCCAAGGCATCAACACCTGCAGAACGTGACCGACTCGACAAGTTCATCGCCTCTGAGGGGTGGGCAAAGAAGTTCATCGCTCGCCACAACCTCAAGTCCAGGAAGCTGCACGGCCAGGCGGGCAGCGTCGACGATGCAGCTATCGCCGACGGAATCCGCAAGGTCCGAGAGATGATCGCGAAGTACGACCCGGACAACATCATCAACTGCGACGAGACTGCGCTTCAGTACAAGATGTTGCCCCGCAGTACGTACACCGCACCTGGGGAGGACAAGCGCACGGTGCGGGGGGTGAAAGGCATGGGATTCAAGGATCGCGTCACGCTGTACGTGGCTATGATCGGCCACTCCAAGAACCCCCGGTGCTTCAGGCTCAGAAAGCTGCCCGTCAAGTACTTCAGCCAGTCCAACGCGTGGTCTGACGCGCGCGTCTTCGGCTTGTGGTGGGAGGAGGTGCTTCTTCCGTGGGTGCGTTCCATCACCAGCAAACCCGTCCTGCTCACCATGGACAACCACAGCAGCCACGCGAACCTGGTGGACCCCCGTGGGCAGGTGACGGTCCTGGAGCTGCCGCCGAACTGCACCGCCAAACACCAGCCCTGCGACGCCGGGATCATCGCAGCCCTGAAGAAGATCTTCAGGACCTTGCTGCTCCGCATCCGCGTCGACACGATGGACGACGCGGCGAACCTCCGAACGGAAGCGATAAGACGCAAGGTGCTCAGCGGCTGCCACGGGCTGGCGGAGGGATCCGCACCTCACCTACTTGACGCCGCTGAGCTCTGCAACGACGCGTGGGGGCGTGTTTCTGAGGACACCATCAGGAGGTGCGTGGATTCGTTGTTTTTTTTCAGCTCTCATCGTTGTTCATTTTTGACATGGAGTTTTTGTTGCTTGTGCTTGATCTTTTTTTTTTTTTTCCTTCTCGTTGCAACGGTAGAGATTACCTTGGGGTCAAAATTTCACATGGAGCATCTTCTCATATAACAAGGAAAAATTACAAGGAAACCAAAACAAAATCATGGCCCACACTGTTTCTCTGTGCGTGCCTCGTTTTTTTTTTCTTGCCGCCCGGGTTGCAGGTGCTGGAAGAAGGCAGATATCCTCTCTGCAGCCATGCACGCCGACATCGACGCGGAGGTTGGCCGCACGAAGACCACCGGCAAGCAGGACGGAGCGGACGAGCTGGAGACCTTGATTTCGCGCATGAGCTTGCGAACGAAGGGTGCAAAAGGCATCGACGAAGACATCGCAGACGCGCTCGCTGGCTTGGGGCTGGCACCGGGGGCGAAGCCCACGCCGGCTGCCATGAAGGCGGTAGACACATGGCTGTCTGTAGAGGACAACGTGGAGGTAGCCGAAGCGATCGTTACAGAGATGGTAGAGGACCTCTGTGATGAGAATTTGGTGGGCATGGATCTTTCCTCTGACGACGAGGACGACGACCTGGTTGAGCTACGCCAATCGGGACAGTCGGCGGCGGCAGCGGCCCCGGCTCCGCCGCCGTACGCGAATGTAGCAAATCATTTTGGTGAACTTGAGGATACTGCCGAGAAGTGCCGCATGTCCGAAGTGTCTTTTCACCTCCGCAAGGCTAAGCTAGCGTGGATGAGTGCCTACGGTTCGAGGGAAACCAAGCAGACGTGCATGAGCGACTTCCTTTGACGGTTGCAGCGCAGATCGTGTTCAGGCTGACAGGTCGCCAGGGTAGCGTTGGTTTCTTGGGTTTGTGTTATTTGTACGGCGAGTGATGTTTTGATATTGTGAAGCTGTTTTTTGTTCGTTGACTCGTGTTTTTGTCGGGGGTTCAAATCGATGGGATGAGAGGTATGAGGGTGTTACATATGTTGAGGGTACGGTGGGAGGAAGGTGCAGTGTGTAAACGGGTGCGTCGTTCTTGAGTGCTGGTGCATTCGTCGCCTCGTGTTGTCCTTCTAGAAGAGGTGCAACTATGAAACCCAGCTATAAAACAACTCAACCAAAACCTTTTACGTGTCCACGTGCAAAAATGTGCATCGCATCACACGACGATGATTTATTTTTCCGAACGCAGATCCACCAAAAGCGTACAACGTACAGCAGTGCTTGGGTCCACGTGCTTGCCAACCAAGAGAATGAGCGGTGTTTGGAGGTAGCCCGACGTGGTAACGCTAGCTGCGCAAGTGACATGCATGATACGCTCTCTTTATGACCTATTTTGGCATTCGAGTGTAGTCAGTGCGCGAGAGCCCCTGTTTCACGACCTTCAGTTTTGTCTACGATATAAGAGAGAATTCTCTTAAAGTGAGATTCTGTTTAAGAAATTTCTCTCTTATATCGTAGCCAACACGATATAACAGAAAGCCGGATTTAAGAGAGTGAAATTGGCTTGTACCGACCCTCTCTTAAACCGTAGCCGCTACTGTAACGGCTATCTGTTCGATGGCAAGGAGAAGACAATTTGAGTCATAGTATACATACCTTCATCCTTGCTTGTTCACGACAGGCACACGTTCGGCGTGCGTCCAGCGAAGAGCATCCATGACGCGGTGGTACCCGCGTGCATTAAGCTGTAGCATGCTCAGGCAAGATCATCGAACAATTTGTCGATACCATGCAGCGGTGGACCTAGTGACCGTCTGCGCCTCTCCAGAGGATGGCGGCAGAAATTGCATGACCAAGCGAGTATTCCTAGAGGAGGAAACGAGAGAGCAAATCTTCCTGTCTGGTGCAAACCAGAGCCCATGCACAAGCAAGTGCAGAAGACAGTCTGATAGGCAAACTCACATACTAATTGAAACAGATGACACCCAAAGGTTGGAAGGTGTACGCGACAACTTTTACGATAGACAAACCACGAAAAAACAGAAACAGTTGAAGGCCTCACAAGCCAGAAACTATGCCGAAAACGTTGCGCACAAGCTTGAGGTCGACCCAATCCCAAACTCTCAAGGGAAGGGGTTGGACAAAGAACGAAAAGAGCGGGTCAATTTTCGTAGTCGGAGTTGAGGGTGCAGGCCGCGCACCCGGCCACTTTCGTGAACTTTTCTCCTCCTGTCCGTCGACGCGCCGGCTTCATTGCAGCGGCTGTTGGCGTTGCACTTGTCCTGCATCCTGCATCTCGAACGCGATCCGGAGCATGTCGTTGCGCTTTCTTTGAGCGCATGGGTAGTGGACGCGTGTCGCAGACTTGCCCTACCATGAGGTTTACAGGTTTTCTCCTGGCGGGAGTGGGTCTCAGCCCACATAGGAAAACATGTGCATACGGACTCTGCCGGTGACCCAAGATGAATGGCATTGCAAGGATTTTCGACCACCGTCACCGCTGTCACGGCGGCCGTTTTTTTATGGCCGTGGGGATTTGTACGACGGAGGCGAACAAAAGCTCAACGCGCAGTCTGCAAACACCTCTTCTCTGCACGAGACTTGTGTCTTTTCAACTCCGGCAACAAATGCGTGCCCTGCATGGCATTTATTGGACCTCTGCACACAACGTCTGGAGTTCAGCAGCGGCAGACGCACAGGTGGAAATGATGTATGATTGATCCCGTCTGGGGCGATGGAGAACCCGCCGAATACCAGCTGTTTCTGATGACGTGACTCGCTTGTAGCTGTGCCCGCGTCTCCTTCTCGGCGTCTCTCGCTCGCGCCTTCTCCTTCGATGTTCCACATCCCATAGAGTGCGACGCTCGTACCCCCCCATACTCGCCCATTGCCGCAAAGGTACATGCCCGTTGTTGGGGCTGTGGCATTCGCTCACCGAAACAATGGACGCATCCATCAAAGCATCTATTTGCCGCCCTCGTCATGTCACCGCCACAACCCCAAGCACACTTAGGTAACAGATTCCTGCTGATGCATATGCGAACGGGGAGTGATAACACTGGCATTCAAAGCACCACGGAAGGCGAACACAGCACGACGTTGCACTCTTGCATGATAAGTATTTGTACTTCCTGGGAGCAGTACCTTGCTGTGCATGCGCGGGTTAACCACCAACCATCATCCTACGGTATTCGTGTTGAGGTTGATAGAATTTCGGTACTGACAGTGTAGATTAGCCCTTTTTCGCCATCGACTTGCAGGATGGACGTTCCTGGTAGTGGCAGCAGCGGTGACGGGGACGGTTTACTGTCGGAATGCACCAACATGTTGTCTGTCTAAGCCCTGTTAGGAGAGTTTGCACACCACCACACGGCGTTATCACAACCCCGTGCATCCACGTATGATACTTATTACGAGTTTCGTTGTGGCGCTCTTCGATGGTGTTGCTTACTGCTGCTGTCTCTGGTGCCGGTCGTGCTATTGTGTGCTGTAGATCGCTCGCAGAAGATAGCGTTGATTTCGGCAACCTGCCGGTCGACAAGAATGGGGCTGTAGACACCACATTGCACACCTGCCACATTGCCCTCCTGCATGAGCGCTCTGTTGCGATCGTTTTCCAGTGTGGTGTCATGCATCGTATCGGGGAAGGCGAAGTACCTTGCTGACGGTGTTCGGGGCAGAGGCTACAACCACACCACAACCACGTTTCAAGAACCAGTTGCTTCCAATATTTCCTTCCACTTCGAAAGACGTCCAACATGATTGTTTCCTCGGATGGCATGTAACAACCCCGGGCTCAAGCAGGTCATGGGCAAGCGTCCAACCTTCCTGCGTGAAGCCAGCGGCGGCATTGGCACCCTGGGCTTTGACAATACGAACAGCAGCAGGTGCGAGATCGACGGCGCTGAGGATTGCTGGGGACGAGGGGGACACGGAGGTGGCGGTGGGGATGCCGAAGCCGCCGGTTGAGCCTACGCAAGAGAAGAACAACCTGCCGTTTTTCCTGGATCCCAGCACGAGGCGAGTCTTGTCTTTCGGCCGATTGAACCACGGCGAAATGTTGCTTCTTTATTTGCGGATTGCAGCCTGCTCACCTGAGCACTAGGTATGGCATGCTCCTTCTCTTTTACCCTACCATGTTCCGGCATCGCAGCATTTCCCTCGAACTAGATATGTTTAGTCGTGTGGCTGTTGTCGAGCACACTTTATACCACCCGTAGCCTAGGCATGTGTCCGCTCTCTCAACTATTGCTTTCAAGGAGCGTGATGCTTCGTTGGTATCACTTTAGCCATGTCCGTGTAGAGCCAGACCCTGGGTACTGGGCGGACTCAGCCTAGATAGATGCCTGCATGTTTTCCGGACGCAGAGAGGTCAACGCACTGAACACTCTAACCGATGCGTTCGGTGTACGTTGGAGTATTCGGCTAGGGTAGCCGTGAGGGCGGGGTTTCGTCTGTCTGTCTGTCTGCCTGTCGCTCTTTATGTCTCGGTCTCTTTGTCTCATCTGTTTGCTTGCGTGGGACAGGAACGGCGTGGAGTAGAGCCCAAACCAACTCTAGAGCTGTGTGATTCTTGCTCACTCGTAAATCTCACGTGTCAAACATCGTAGGCGATAGCTGGGCCATGTTGTGTCAAACAGACTGGTAGGATTGCTCGAATCTACACCACCTGCTCCTTCTCTTCGTAGCTGGATTAGTTCCAGATCTAAAACATACGGTAGAGTACAAGGGGTCACCGTCGAGATCAAACCCAAGGGCGACGTGAAGGCATCGCCACCATGCTTCCCACGTAAATCGGAAACCTACGCTGAAACTCTATTTATTGCACGCCGTGTGCTTGGCATATACCCTGCTTGTCTCGTGAGTAATCCATTTCATGGTCACGGTCACTTTCATGATATGTTGCGATACTTTCTCGGGGAGGTGATGTGACCTATTTTGGCGCCCCCGCTATCTATGCCATATCAAGGTAAAGTTGACCACGAAAGGCAGTTCAACGAAGGTCGAGCAGCAGCAACTGCAGGTAACACGTGTTTTGTCCAAGCCCTTCAAACTGTTTTACTGTTTGGGTTGTGCTGGGCTGTGTTGAAAGAGATGAGTACCAAGAGATGTGTACCTTGGGTCTCGTTGTTCGTGGTTTGCTTACTTTCGCCAGGGGAGGAGCTGTCGTGGTGCCCACGTTGTCTCTATTGCTGCCGCTGGGGGCATATGGGGCGCTGACGGCTGTTGGGGTGGACGGATCCAAAGCAGGTGCGCTTAGTTTTTCTGTAAAACGGCTAGCATCTCGTGCTGTTTTCAACAGATGGTGGCAATCTATGCAAGGATCTAGCAGGTTCCTTTGTGTAACCTTTCATCTATCATGTTGGCGCGACGACCCCACGTTGGTCTGGTTTGTTTTTTGTTGCGGTTCACCCCTGGCCGGTACAACGCTGGGCCGACTGCGCTCTTCTTCCGATGTGCAGGTGGAGGTGCTTTACCGCCCTTTGACGAGTTGTGTCGCGTCACTTTTTATGTATGTGGGCCGTTTATCTTCGGGTGCCATCAATATTCCAGGGCCTTCTCGGGCACCTCCTCTCCCAGTCTACAGCGGGGTTCGGTTTTCGTACTCTGAACTTCGATTGCGTTTTACGTCCGTCCTTGAAGGGATGGTAGACAATGAATTTGATGTTGACTGATTTTGAATATAAACGCAAGAGCACCAGAAAATGCAGACAACACATACAAGACCACTAGGACGGTATCGGGGAAGAGAGAAATCGTCGATTCTCGCACAGGGCGGCCGTAGAGGCTGCTTACAATATACCATGGTACACATTTCATGGGTCGACCTCCACACGCCTCCTTTGAAATCAAGATGACAATCACACTACACGCCAAGAGAGGCAGAACCGCAGGAGGTCAAATAACGTCAGTTTTGCATATGACCTTGTGCATTCTACTGACATCGCTAGAGGATGCCCTATACCAGCGGGGTATATATATTGGTGCGATCAAATCCGCTTCTCAGGTGGTGATATCAAGGGTCGTAATAGTGACCTACAATCTCCGCAAATTAGCCTGACACCCTAAGTGTCCTACACTGCTTGTTCTCGCCGCCACTGACCCCAATCTCCTGAACTGCGGGTTCACTGCAGTAGCTGATGCCACTATAATAGCTACAGCTGACGATCCGCGGTTCAGGTTTTCTGTAACAAATGTTTGGTTCTGGCACAGATTACGGACTCTTTCCGAGACTGCTGCGACCCTCGATATTTCAGCTCCAGGAGCAAACCTGAACGTGCAAGCACACACAACGCCTCTTTATGGTGTCCTCTACTGAAAACAGTAAAATGCACAAGATCTAACGGTTTAGAGAGGTCGCCTTCTTTTCTATACTTCAAATATTGAATTTAGTTCGAGGAGCCAGCGTCAGAAAAGAAGTTGTCTGTCATCCCTTAGCAACGGCGACCGACTCACAGCTCAATCATGATTGCTTTAGCAACTTAGACTGGAAGGACTCCGGCCTTGAAGGACACAGATCGAGCACAACCTAAAAGGAGCCTCCTGAGTGAACACATCCTACCGCAGGTGGTGTTTGGGACACATGCCGAGAGTAAGTTTTTTCCTGGCTAAACTGTGCTGGCACATGTACGCCATCGTATGCTTAATCGAGGGGTGATTTTTGGAGCTCTTCGATAGGAGCGAAGCGTAGCTGCCAGCAAATAAATGAATTAAAAGATCGATATATCGTAGATTTGCCCCTATCCCGCACGGTACTTAAGCCGGTCTCAACATTATTGTAAACAAGGGCTCCGGACGCGGGGGGCTACCGCCCCCCCCGTCCTTCGTTTTGGCTGGTGCTCCATGCGGAGAGGGAAACGTCGGGGCGTTGAAACACATACCAAGTGGGACGTGCTTGGTGTGGTCAGGATATGATTTAATTATTTCCCCGAAGAAGGCAGCTCGTGGACCACGAAAGAAAAAACACCACAAACTGAAGATTTGACCGGAACTATTCTTCGGCGCAACGTGAAGTACATACAATCTCGATAGGCGAGATTTTCGGACTTGCGATGCACACCGAAAGCATTACGCGGCGTACCGTGTGAAACCATTTTGCCGTAAAGTAGGGCTTAGATGGTGGCTCTTATATGTTGCAAAGGAAACGACACAGTCGCATCTCTACTGTGATACTCCAGTATGTACTCCATGTGATACTCTAGACTACGGTCTTACAATCTCGATATATATGCGAGATTTTCGCACTTGCAATGTCCACCGGAAGCATTACTCGGCGTTCGGTGTTACAACCATCACCACTGTGAAGTAGAGCTCAGAAGACGGCTCGTACATGGTAAGAAGGAAACAATACAGTCCCAACTCGAATGTGATACTCTATGAAGTCTAATGTGATACTCCAGACTAAGGCGTAATCTAGGCCGGAACTATTCTTTGGCGCTATGTATTCATGCAAAGTTGAAAATGTAAAACTTACAATGAAGAGCGACAGCATTGTTCAGACGCAATCGGGAACGGCAAACGGGCCCCTTGGGAACCAATCGTTAGCGTACACTCAAAATGTAGCCAACACTTACACACACACTCATCTTTTGGAAGTGGTAGCCGACACTCACTCTAAATGTACTTGGCATCTACACGTACATACATGCATGTCTAAGCCGCTTGTCTAAGTAAGTGTGGTACGTGGCAACAGAAGGTACTCTGAATATGATGATGTATTTACGTGGTTACTTACATGTCTAAGTCGCGGATAAATCGTTCGTGAGACGATAGATAGGTAGGTGGTAGTACGCAAAGTTAAGAAGGAAACCGAACGACACCGAGAGGCATTTAATTCGCGGAAAAAACTAAACACGAAAGAGATAGAAAGGTCAGGCAGTGACACGGCGTGCCTGGAGTTTACTTGGCTACATAATAATAATAGGTGTTGCGAAGCCGGAGACATGCAACACCGAAAGACACAGAAAAACGAAGATAGATCAGGCTTGTCACACAGCATTCGTAGCGTTGATGGTCTACTTCCGTGCTGTTGAAGAGGATTCCTGCCTTGGTAGCTGGAGCATCGGATCGTTGGAGGAAGAAGACCTGAGGTGGTGAAGACACTTCCGTCAGTAATAATAAGATCGCTTGTTCTTTACAGTTCCGAGCGGAGGGAGGGGTCCGAGGTGGAGACGCAGGTGCGACGACGTGGTTTTGAGCCGTCCCGCCGGCGCGTGCAGCTCGCCCGTCGCCGGCCGCTCGGAGCCCCGAGCGGCGGCGTCTCGCTGAGCGAGGGCTCTCGGCGGGCTTCGCGGAGCGAGAAGCCGAGCGGCGGCCCCGGCGTCGCGCGCCAACATTTGACGCTATCGGTGGACGCGGGGGGCTACCGCCCCCCTCGTCCCCCGTTTGAGTGCATGTAGTATGTGCATACGAAACGAACTGTAACATTTACAATACATACCAAGTGGGACGGTTGTTCGCTACATACAGTTGAAAAGAACGATGGACAGACAGACGCAGGTTCAAGTCGAGAGAAGCATGCATGCATGATTCGTCATCATGCTCTCCTTATCCACTTACTTACCGTCTTCTTCTTTCTTTCACTGAGTGAAAAAAAACTAAGTAAGTGCAAAAATAATTAATTGCCGAACAAACGTTGAAGCTTCTGGCGCACACCCTGCTGTAGCCGTAATGTATGTAATGTGTGTGCACCTGGGTGTCTTTAGTATGAAGTACGGGCCCGGAGATAAGAAACGTCAAGATCGGGTCGAGGCTCAATCCCTTACTTTGCGTCGAAGGACCGACCGAAGTCAGTCGTCCATTTTCTTAAAAGAAAGGCATTTGTTCTTGCTTAATTCCTTTGGACTGTCGCATCATCCTGATTCTGTTATTTCTCATGTTCTTTAATTTCTGGCTAAGAAGATGCATACAACAACACCAAACATCCATGCAGCAGTGGGTAAAGCAGCCCGCGGCGGCGCCGAGTCGGTAGCTAAATAACGCGGAGGTGGGGGAGACAGCGCCAACAATTACTCTCCCCCCCACGAAAAAAAACTTTGTCCAGGTAGGTACGGGGGGAGTGGGAGCACCGAAGGAGCAGCAGTGGAACGTTTCATATTGGATACGCTCCCCCAGCAACCCTTGTTTGTCATGTATTGGGGGTATCGCACGATCATGTTTGTTTCTTGTTAGGACGTTTTTTATTATGGTTGTGGCCGAGATTGAGCTGTGTTTCTTATAGTCCTTTTTACTTATTTTTACTAAAAAGTTGAGCCTTTTTTTCTTCGTGGAATGTTTCTTAATTGCGGGCCCGTGCTGTAAGCAAGCATCTGACCGCGCTAACCGGCTGACCAATGAAAAGACGTCGGTCTCAGTGCGGTGGAAACACACAACGCGCATTTCTACAGTAAACAATCTGGGACCCTGTGACCGAGTGTCACGGGGGAGTCTACGCTACTCTCCGGATTAAAGACAGATAGATACCGTATAGCAACAGAAGAAGAAAACTGCACTTACTTGTTTGCCTTGGTACGGCTGCTACTGCTTTGGGTGCGCGTGGCGTGCGCTTTGACCTGTCTGTCTTTGTGTGCAAGTGTGGCTTGTACCATAGCAACATACAGCCGAGACTGCATACCACAATAAAGCAACATACTACATAGTCTACAGCAGTCAGTCTAGATCAGCTCCGTAAAGTTTAATGTTCGCACCCTACACACACACCCGGTGTCTGTCGGCTGTACATACATACCGCAGAGAGATCCAGCACACACAGCTGATCATGAGAAACAAACATGAGCGAGATGCATGTGATGTGTTCCGAGTTCCGAGAGCCAGTTTTTTCTGTCACAATGAATGCCGCAAGTTGTCATTTATTTCAGGAAAAACTGTTTGTCCGCACCGCACGCGCAGGTGGTAAAGTAAACAGTCCACCAAACACACTCCTCATGCACCATCGCTTAAGTAAGTGCACGAAAGGTAGGAACATGGGGATGTACCGCATGTATGTATGTGTATGTTACCTGCTATAGATATACGTACACGATCCGCGATACATGCATGCAGTAACGTGCGTCACGTGCACGCGGTTGTCATTTCTTCTTCAAAATTCATGTTCCGAGATAGGTTGAAGTTAATAAAAAACACCGACGGCATGGTGAAGAATGAAAGAACACACGTCCGTCTGTATTCTTTGAGGTCAACAGCTTGCCGCACGCGCAATCCCAGCAGCATCGCGCAGCTGCAGAAAAAAATGCCGGCAGCACCACTCACAGCAAAGTTGCGTCTCTCAACGCGCCATGCCTAAATCGGTCACGCAACAACAAGATATTACCACATCCAGTGCATACATGCACAGATGCGTGTTGCAGTGCACAATGCACAACAACAGCAACAACACACCACACACGTCGCTTCAAGTTCTCAAAAACACGGAAAGAGGTTAGCCACCAATCGGATCGCTGATTCTTAGATTGGAGCGACAGTCCCGAGCGGAGGGGCCCGAGGTGGAGAGAAAAAGTGCGACCACGTGGTTTTGAGCCGCCCCGCCGGCGCGTGCAGCTCGCCCGTCGCTGGACGCCCGGAGCCCCGAGCGGCGGCGTCTCGCTGAGAGGGGGCTCCCGGAGGGCTCCGCGGAGCGGGAGGTCGAGCGGCGGCCCCGGCGTCGCGCGCGAGCACTCGACGTTAAGCGTGTCGACTTGAGAGTAGGCGCGATCCCGCCACTTCGCTCTCAGGCGCCGAACGGAGGCCTGCGGCGCGCCCTCAGGCTTGAGCTAATTTTCCTTACCTCTATTCCCTAAGATTCGGTCGGACTCACAAGGAGATTGTGTGGGCAGCCGTAACCGTAACGCCGATCCTCACCCTATCGGCAGCGTGAGGTTTAATGTCCAACACCCAGCTGGATGGTTTTTACGCTATGATACCCTTACCCAGGTTCTACACCCTGTCATGTCGTTCTCTCCAACAAGGCGTTGGCATTCTAGGACGTACCAACTTTTGTGCAAACAGCGGCACCAATGGGGAACCAACTGTCTGTAGTCGTACTTGTACCAAGCAGAGGAGCGATTTCTTCCGGATTTTCCCGTGGACCAGGCCAGCCTCCCTCCACCTCAACAGAAGTATCTGAAGGGCGTTTCAAATACTTTGTCAAAATATATCTTTTTTCTGGAACGATCGCGGGTGGTTCAGGTTTTAACCCCGTTAACCTCATGTCTCAAGGTTGTGGGATCGAACCTCTCGCGACATACTCTTGCTTTGGTAGCGCGTGGTTGGTGAATACAGTACATCGCTTCGAGTGTCAGATATTGAAGGCGACCACAGCAAGAGGTAAGGCAGAGAACAGCGTATGGGTTGCCTGTGTGTGACTGCGGCTGGTGCGGTTTATATACCGAAAGATGTCTCCCTGAATAGACGCGGCCAAAATACATATGGCAGGCAGGCGCTTGCTGTCTGCTTTTCAGTCAACAACTCCGCTTTGCTTTTATGCTCCATGCACCTGGTCGCCTCATCCAACAGGGGCATGGGTGGGTGTGGGATACACGCTGATCGGCCTCATCGCCTGGGTGGGCTCGTACTTTTTCCGAGTCGCGACGAAGAACATGACGTACGCTGTCCAGGTAATTTTTCTATCTCTCTCTTCGGTGTGGTGTTGCTGTCCCGATTCAAGTACATGGTGTCGCTAGAAAGAAGTTTCTGAGCTGAAATAAACGGGTGTCCTAGCTTTTGACCGCTTTGTTTTGTTGAGATTTTTTTGACCTCCCTGTCGACGAAATGGTGTTTGGTTGTTCGTGCTCACTGGTGCCGTGGGTTGCACCGGTACTCTCGAGGACAATGAGCCAGGGCAGGCCTGAACCGCGCCACTATGACGCAGACTTGCACAACCAGGCCGGTTCCGCGACCTCTGAGCGTTTGCATTTCATAACACGAAATATGATTTCACGGTGTTCACCTCGTACTCTCTGGCGTCTCACTGTCTCCGTGACATCAACGGTGGCCATATTTGCAGGTCTCCCTTGTCACGTGCGCGTATTTTGGGATATGGGTTGATACATGTATCGTGATGACTTGCTGCAAGTGACCAAGGTGTCACCGACAATCGCCGATGTTGCGCATGATCCTCGATCGCACTCCTTGCCCACGTGTTCGCGCGCTTGTTGCGATGGTTTGCCCGTGCACAGTTGAAGAACTACGAGCAGGCGGTGATCGAGAAGCGCTTCAGCGAGCTGGAAGAGGAAGAGGTCGATGCGTTGCTGGACGAAGTAAACGAATAATGAATCGATGGGTTGCCCATGAGCCGTACAAGTTTCGTTGGCGATGGGTCTGAATTTACGAAGTAGGCTGTAGGTGAAGCGGGACGGAGGAGTGAGGGCGCGACGCGAATGTGGTGATCTCCGCACGTTCCCGCTGTTACCGTGAATTGTGCTGCGACTTGCTCGGAATCGCTCACGATGGAACGATATTTTTTTTGGAGCAGGTCCCGAATCCTCTTCTCACATCACTCCCTGCTTCTCCGACACATCTCTACAAATGTGTTCCAGAACGCCAACTTGACGCTCGTGAATAGAGCCAGACTTTGCGATACGTCGGCCGTGCTTATCACTTCGGTGCTGCTCGATATATTCCAAGCCCGTGGATAGCCTTGGATATGTCTCCAAGCGCCTAGAAGTAACGGGGCATGGTGCAGAAAAGAAATGTGGAATCACGCTGGGGGGGGCAACTCTTTCATAGTGAAGCAGCTGCAGCATCAGAATAGATGTTAAGCTTGTAAATGTGCATGTGCCATTCGTGAGGAGCGTTTGCGCAAGCGACAGGGAGAAACAAAACAACGACGACGATGGTGCCACCCCTGGATCCTTCCCACCGGACGGCAACGGGCGCTGCTGTGTGTCCGAGGAAGGCGAGGGTATCTACTGGACAGCACCGTTCCGCGAACACTTTGAGGATTCACCTCCGTGGGACTCCCCAATTGCAAATTCAGGTCTCATTCTGCAGTAACCGCGGAAAAGGGCACTAATGAATCATGTCATGTGAAGTGACAAGAATTTTCAAATCGTTTTTTTGGTCCGGTACCATTTTCTCTCAGCTCCATCAAACGTTCGAGCACGAGATCGCCATGGTGCCTTCGCGCGACCTAGACCTCGACTTCTGTTGAAGGAATTTTCAAACGAAGCGACACCGATACCAAACGCAGGAATTGTTTCGTGCTCCTGCCCACATCAGGACAGCATCATCACGTCTTCAAGTACCGTGTTTTTTTTTTCTCCCGTGCTGCAGCTGAATTCTCTGAGCTCAACAAAGCTGCGATCACGAGGTTCGCGACCCTGCCTCAGCACGTACCAGCCCTCGCCGATGACCGAGCGTTTCACCTCGCGTCACGGTCGTCAGTGGCGGAAAAGTACCAAAACCACCTCTTGCAGGTCGCCGCGCGCCGGGACACCAAACAGTTGAAAAACTTCCCCACGATGTTTTCCAAAATCGAGCAGCGGCATGCTATTTTAGTCGCGTCTCGATGCGATTGGACAGAATAGGTGTGCTTCTCAAGTCTCAGGGAGGACGGTGGCCTCTTTATTTTGTTTTCTTTCGAAATGCTTCCTTATTTCTTCGGTTTCTAGGCTACGTGTTGGGGAGAGAGACGCACGAAACGCTCAACGTCTCTCCGGCCGCGTTAGCTGCGAAGGCCGGCGTCAACTCTTACAAATAAATCCATCTCTCTCCCCACAAATACTAGCCGGGGGACTACGACTGCAAACGCAGAGGAGTCCCAAAACTGACCAAGTCCTCAAATGGTACACACCATTCTACAACACCCACATCGAGGTCAGTTTCTGGACGACACCGAATAAGTCAACTATGTGTTCCCCATATGGTCCCATCCCCCGGCTGTCTCGATACTATCCTGCTGCCGTCTGTAAGTTTCCGTGACACTCGCCGCGAATCCTCTACATTGTTTCGCGCGTACGGCTTGTAGGCATCCGACCTCCACTTCCCTTCTCTCTGAATCACTCGTTCTGCGATGTCTCCGCCGGATGCAAGAGCCGTCGCGCCTCCAATTCGCAACGAGTGCAACGCGTACTCCTGGGAGTTACGCCCCGACTTCGCCACCACTTCTCTGACTGCACGGAGGGTAGCACTATACCTCGCTACTCTCACTGCTCTTCCACTACGGTACGAAGCCAACGGTGCGGAGTCAGGCAACGTCGCACGACACACGCCACTGGCTGCTGTTTGTGGATGTCGGGTGGATGTCGTCGGCCAAAGGCCTCTCTCTGGCACGCGTTTTTGACTGGTCGCCGGTGCAAAAAAAAGGGTGCTTCTTATCGACCAATAAAACACGAAAAAAAACGAAACCGTGTTTTCTTGAACACATATGGAGGCGTTTTTCCCCGAAAGCGTGAAAAGAAGGAGCCGGTGTTTTTTGGGGCTTGCTACTTAAAACAAATCCGTGTTTTTGAGAGAAGCATCGGACAAGCGCACAGCGGGCGCTGTAACATCACTGAGAACGCTAGAAAGACCTGCCAGACTCACGTCCAGGTCTGTTGTGGAGATTGACAAGCGGCAGAAGCGGCGTTCAGTCCGTTCTTAGCCCAAAACTAGAGGCATTGCGTGGTGCTCTCGTCTTCAACTGCTGCTGTTGGTGCTGTTTTTTTTTTTCAATCACACATAGCAAACACGGAAACAGTAGAACGAGTACAGCAGCAGCACTAAGACCTCCAACGCGCTGATTTCTTCGGTTCGGCTGTCTATATGATACCATCTCCCGGCGCCGTGCTGCTTCGTGGGTATTGGGTGCTTGGATGCTGCTCAATAAAGTGTATGAGAGACGTGTGCCACCTCACCAAAACGCCGTTGGAAAAAATGCGGCGATATGATCTGTTTTTGGTCGGACGCATCAACATCAATCCAAGGCACCACGCAGCAGTAGTAGAGCAACAGGGCCTCCAACACGCAAATTCTTTCGGATTGGCCATCTATATGATGCTGGCCGTCAGCGCGGCTGCCACCCTATGGTTGTTGAGCTTGTCTACCTTTGGGCAGGTGGTGGTCAAAGATGGGCGTCGCAACCGTGAAAAATGAGCTGGCAAACTGAAGAAATCGCAAGCAACACCCAGGTGGCGACACTCCGCCCTACGTCTGTCTGTTGTTGCTGAAAACTGAAAACAGCAGGCCAGGTGGACGGGATCTTTTTAAGTGTGTTGTTCTCTGTTTCGGGTGCTGCTCATTGCGCTTTCACCGCTGCTCTATGGTGAGCAATACCACCATGTCAACCTGTTGTGCGTCGAGCAAAACGTGTATTCTGGGAAGGAAACGAACTCTTCGCGATGACATCACGATTATTAGAACAAGGGAAAAATAATCGGATCTTCTTTTCACCGTTCCGTGAAACAAAGCGTTGTTTTTTCGTTGCGTTAACAATGGCTCAGAAAAGGACCCTTCCCCCAAATCCAATCCGGAAATAATCACAACAACAGTAAGACTCAGCCTGACGGTTCTCGACCCCGCACAACACAACCTACTCGACCACCATTCATTCATGGTTATCGCAACAACAAAAAAAGGCAAAAAAAAAGCGGAAACCTGCCTGGTTGCCGAGCCCACGAAGTGAATCGGCTTGTTTTACAACATCGCTGCCAAGCGACGAAAACCCAACCCCGATGACAAACACCGGGGGGGCGGCTTGTTTTACAATGTTATTGCCAAGCGACGAAAACCCGAAACTAGGGGGGGGGGGGGGTGTACTCATAGTCGTGCATGCCGTAGTCGTTTGACCATTGACCTCGCATCCCTACAAAGCCGGGACGGAGCACGCCGGGTTCTCACCGGACCAGGCTCTCACATCACCAAGCGCGAAGCGCCGTGAGGTATTTGGCGAGTCGCATGAAGGGTGAGCTGCATCCTGCGAAGGGTGTTCGGCATCTTGTGCTTACTTC